TGGAGGGGCGGGGCCCAGCCGGGAGGGCAGAAAGCTGAGTCTGGGGGCGCTCTAGCGGGAGGGGCTGGAGAGCCGGGAGTGGGATCGAGAGCCTGGCAGGACGGGGTGCCCTCCGAGGCGCAGGTACGAGCCCTTTCGCGCAGGGGAGCCGGCTGCGCGTCTGGGCTTCATCATCACCTGCGAGGCAGGGTCAGCGTCCGACAGACCTGGGTTCAAGTCCAGACTCCGCCGCGCGCTGGCTGGAAATGGGCTGCATCCACCCAACAGGATCTATTTCCGAGGATCGTCGGGAAGAGCCGGTGTCCAGCGCTCGCACCTGGTAGTGCGCAGTGAGCCAGGATCACTGCCTCTGGCACTAGGACCCCCTGGCGGCGGACCCGGAGCCAGGGAGGAGGCGCGTTCCGGCCGGCTGGGCTCCGGACCCGCTTTCTCCAGCCCCGCCCCTGGGAGTCCCAGGGTTAAGGGTGCTAATTGCATCTCTGTGTCTTTGGGCAAAGGACAGCTTGTTTATGCTTCGGTTTCCTCCCTCGTAAAACAGGAGCAGGCAGCGTACTTACCGCCCAGGGTTGTGGCGAGGATTAAATGAATGAACCGCCGGAAAGCCCCCGGAACGGCGTCTTGCACTTCGTAAGGGCTCGCGAACTAGGGCTGCTGAGGGGAGCACCCTCCCTGGCTCCCCTTCTCCCCGGCACGTGGAGTTCTTGCTGCGCCCCCCGCCTGGCTCCGCGCGCGGTGCCGGCCGCCCGGGCTACGGGATGCAGCGCGACTGCCGCTCTGGGTCAGGGGCCCGGCGGGCTTGGCCCTGCCCTGGCCACGCCTCCTGGCCCCACCCATATGGCCAAGGCCCTCTGGTCCCGCCCCTCTGGACATGCCCCTATGGTCCCACACCTTTGGCCGCACCCCTGGTCACGCCCACTGGTCCCACCCACATGACCACGCCCCGGTCCCGCCCCTCTGACCTCCCCTATGACCACGCCCCTGTGCCCCCCTTGTGGCCACGCCCCTCTTCCCGCCCCAGGCCTTAGGTCCGCTTTTCCTCCCCGCCTCTGGTTTGTCTTCGCCTAGAGGGAGGATTGGCGGGATTACCTCTCATTACCTGATAGGCCTGCCCTTCGCCAGGCCCCGCCCCCACCACGCCTCGTTTACATATCCCCCGCCCCCGGGTCTCCTCCGCTCCGCCGGGGGGCAGCCTGCTCGGCCTGACCGAGTCGTGCGCTCTGCTCGATGCCGCAGCAGCTCTGGCCCCAGCGCCCAGGATGCAGGAGCGAGGGAGGCGGGACCGCGCCTCCAGGACCCTGGGTCCCCAGGATGCGGCTTTGATTAGGGTTCTCTGCTTCCCGCTAGGGGCCTGGGCAGGACCTTGGCCAGCGTCCTCAAGGTCACCCCGAGGCTGAGGTGAGAGGCTTGGAGCTCTCCGAAGACCCCCCAGTCCTGNCCTCGTTTACATATCCCCCGCCCCCACCACGCCTCGTTTACATATCCCCCGCCCCCGGGTCTCCTCCGCTCCGCCGGGGGGCAGCCTGCTCGGCCTGACCGAGTCGTGCGCTCTGCTCGATGCCGCAGCAGCTCTGGCCCCAGCGCCCAGGATGCAGGAGCGAGGGAGGCGGGACCGCGCCTCCAGGACCCTGGGTCCCCAGGATGCGGCTTTGATTAGGGTTCTCTGCTTCCCGCTAGGGGCCTGGGCAGGACCTTGGCCAGCGTCCTCAAGGTCACCCCGAGGCTGAGGTGAGAGGCTTGGAGCTCTCCGAAGACCCCCCAGTCCTGCTCTGCCTCCCTCTCCCTGCCCCCGTCTCCTGCCCTGTGCGCGATGCTGGCAGTAAACCCCTCTGCGCCCCAGCTCGGCCCTCTCCCCGGACGCCTGGTCCCTATCCCGTGTTTGGTGTCTCCCCGTTATGTGACGATGCTCTGGGTGGCCAAGGGGGGCATGAGGGAGTGGAGGGACCTAATTAATCACTTTGAACGGAGTGACCACCAGTTGGTAGCGGGAGAGTTCCCTGGGGCCTGGGCGCTGGCCTCCTGCCTCGTATATTCATCGAGGCCTGAAGTGTACAAACCATAATTGAAAGATTTAGTTCGGTCAGCTGAGGTCACCTCCCGCTAGACTTTCAAACACTTCTCAGCAGACCTTTCCTGAGCCTGGTGAGGCAGCACCGGGCAGTGGTTAAGGGCACAGTTGGTAGACAGACCTGGGTTTGAATATTTGTTCCGACTATTATTAGCTGTGTGACCTTGAGCAAGTTGTTTAACCCCTAGAGCCTCAATTCCATGAGGGACAGGGACTTCAGAGAGCTCATGAGCGACTGAAATGGGGCCATGCCCACTGCAACCTGTAGAGGCTCCGTGTGCTCATCTAAAAGGTGGGAGCTGCGGGCCGGCGTGGCTAGTGGTTGAGCATCAACCTAGGATCCAGGAGATAGAGGTTTAATTCCTGGTCAGGGCACTTGCCCGGGGTTACTGGCTTGATCCCCAGTCGGGGGCCTGTGAGAGGCAGCCAATCAATGATTCTCATCATTGATGTTTCTCTCTCTCTCTCTCCCTCTTCCTTCCTTTCTCTGAAATCAATAAAAACATATTTTTAAAAAATAAAAATAAATAAAATGAAATAAAAAGTGGGAGCTGCAACAGTATCCCACACAATGCCTGGCACACAGTGAGTGTACAGTGAGAGCTATTAGCAACACGAATATTCATATTTATGTACATGTTCATGTTAATACTCAGTGCCTGGCCATTACCCAGTGCTCAGGTAAACGGCGGGTGGTATTAGGGAGAAAGCAGCTTCCCTTGCATGGGCTTGGTAAGACTGCATGCCAGGCACAGCATGGACCCTCCTGACCTGGTACTGGTTCTGCTCAGTGGGTTTATAGAGGGCTCATTGGGTGTGGTGGAGTCTGGGAAGGCTTCCTGGTGGAGGAGGCCGTTAGGGATGGTGAGACAGGACATTCATGAGGAGCAGTGATGCTGGAAGGGCTGGCCAGGATGATGCCTCCCAACCATAACGATCAGTGCTCCCATTTTATAGAGACTGTCGCCGTCTCCAAGAGGGTCAGCACCCTGAGGAGTTCTCAGGGTCCCTGAGGAGTCCAAGGCTGAGAGGTTCCCTGCGAAGGTCCCAGGATGCTCCCAAGCCCCAAGGAAACTCCTGAGCACATCTCACGTTGGGGAAGCTCTAGGAGAGGGTGAGCTGTCCGCTGGGAGGAAAAGCCGTGCCTCCCCATCTTTAGGACGCGGTCTGGGGTCCTTCAGAGCCTCTCCGGGGCATAGGACTCCCATTGTTCCAGCCCCCCTCTTGTACCCCAGACTGGCCAAACCGGTTCTGGGGAAGGGGGGCGGGGAGCAGGCACGTTGAGACAGCCGCCTGCCCGCCTGCGAGGTTCCCTCCGCCTTCACCTCCCCCCTCCCTGCCCCACACAATACCCAGGAGCTTGCATTGCCCAGGCTCAGGGGCCATGCTGACATCGCCCCCTGAGGACCTGGCTGCAACCCCAGAGCCCCCGGGGTGGCCTGGAGCCCTGGACGGTGCTGGAGGCTGGACGGAGCTCCCTGGCTGAGGTAGGGCCCCGCCCGGCTGCCAGCAGCCCCATGCTTCTCCCTCCGCCTTCCAGAGCGGGTCCTTTGTGCTGCCCGGCTGGCCCCTGGTCCTGGCCTGCACTCACTCATGGCCTTCTGGGGCTCCACAGCCTGCTGGGCCTGGGTCCCCTTTCCAGCCATGACCTTCCACTTGGCTTTGTCCCTTTAAGGGCTGACGGGCCCTAGCAGGGTCCCTACTTCTCTGGGCAACGGGGAAAGGGCACCAGGAAAGGACAGGGAAGAGCTGGGCACAGGAGGCCAGAGGTGTGTCCAGGGACTCCCTCTGCCAGCCTTGCCAAGTGGATCCTTGTCCCTGTGATGAGCAGTGCCCGCTGGATGGGCCCTTGGCCCCTGCCCATCCTTCTTGGCCTGCAGTTACCAGATGACACAGGTTTCCTAGACAAGGCAGCCAGGGGGGCCTTCGGGATTAATTTACAGATGGGGACACTGAGACCCAGGGGCAGGCTGTGACTTGCCTAAGGCCACACAGCTTGTCCATGTACACACTGGGTCTTGTCCCCCGTGGGTCCCAGAATGACTTTGGCCTAGTGGGCGCTCGAGTGTCCTGTGACCATGTCTTGGGTAGGTAAGGTCCCTGCTCGCTCGGCCAGCTCTCTTGAGGTTCTGTCCTTTCTAACAGAGATGAGCTCCCCACAATAAAGACACAGCCCCGCCCTCCTTGGTCCCCAGCACTGAGGGTGACTGGGCCACATCCCTGGGAGGTCACAGGGCCGCAGCCCAGCTAGATGGGTCTTTCCCGTTGCCCCTCGGCCTGGCCCTGGCTTCCCCCCCACCCAAGAGACCTGCCTCCACCCCCTCTCCCCCTAGAAAGCTTCCCACCACCGTCGACCTTCACCCTGCCTTCTCCCCTGAGGCTGTAGGAGGGGGTGTTCCTGCCTCAAGGGCTCCATGTTTTGCTCATTTATCTCTGCAACTGACAGGGGTGGGAGGTTCCTCCCTGCCCTTCAGGGGCTTCCAGAACCCCAATGGAGAAAACCTCCCAGAACACAGGGAAGCAGGGGCGTGGGTGTGTTCCCGCATGTGTGTAGTCTAGCATGTGTGCTCCCACACGTGTGTTCTTACATGTGCATGTCCCGCACATTTGTGTTCTGGCATGTGTTCTTGCACGTGTGTTCTGGCATGTGTGTTCTCACACATGTATGTTCTCTCAAGCGTGTATTCTGGCACGTGTGCCCACAGAAGCAAGTGGGACTTCTGTGTTGAGGACTTGTGGTTCCTGGAGAGAAAGAGACCCTTCTGGTGGGCAGCGGTCCCATGTCTCTTGCCAGATGCCTCTACAAAGTAGAGGATGTCTAGCCCTCACTGCCTCAGTTTCCCATCTGTGTGATGGCCCAAGCCACCCCCGTGACTGGAGAAAGACTAATAACAAAACTCAGAAGAATGACTATGGAGGATAAAGCTCCCACTGTTACCCTTAATTCTATTTGCGATCTGAAGTTGGCATCACCAGATGAGGAAACTGAGAGAGACTTGCTTAGATGGACAGAGGTTTAGGACACAAGCTAAAGCCCAGCCAGTGTGGTTGAGCATCGACCCATGAACCAGATCACAGTTTGATTCCTGGTCAGGGCACATGCAGGGTTGCAGGCTGGACCCCCAGTAGGGGGCGTGCTGCAGGCAGCCAATCGATGTTTCTCTCTCATCGATGTTTCTCTCTCTCTCCCTCTCCCTTCCTCTTCCTCTCTCTCTCTCTAAAAACAACAACAGCAACAAACAAAAGAACATAAAAAAGATACTAGCTAAAGCTGTCCCTGCGGAGGACTGTAACTGTCCCTTAGGAGCAGTCACCCCCACCCCCACCCAGGCAGGGGTGAAGAGAGCAGGGAGAGAGTCAAGGGGTCATCAGAGAGAGTGGGGCCCAGTCGCAGATCCAGCTGTCGCCCCTGGGTCCTCTCCTCTGTCCCTCTCTCCCAGAGTCACTGACACTGTCACTGTTTCCAGGCCAAGGCTATCTTCCTATCTATGCATCCTGGGTCCCTAGATATTTCAGCCAGAACAGCTAGCTCTCACTTCCTCCAGGAAGCCTTCCTGGAATGCCCAGGCCGAGCTGAGCCCAGCACCCCGCTCTGGTGGTCCCTCTGGCTCTGCTCTTGCCAGCCTGGATTGTAACTGTTTTTGGTTTTGGCTCCCCTGCTGGACTGGCAACCCTTCAGGGCACGAAATGTTCATCTATCTGTCTCTGGGTTTTTCTGGGCTCCACATCTGTCTCTGAGGATGTGGTCTGTCTGAAATCTTCAGTGTCTCTGTCTCTGTCCCTGTCTCTGTGTCCCTGAATGTCGCGGCGTCTGGGATTCCTGGTGTTCAGCATTTCGGGTCTCGGTCTCTAGGTTGCTGTCCATTTCTCCAGGTCTCTGTCTCTGCCTTGGTCTCCCGGGCCTCCTGGCCCTGCCAGGCTGGGCACTGCCCTTTTGGCCTGAGGGGCCTCTGGGGTGGGGGTCTTTGCTGCCCCGCCTGCCCACAGCGAGGCCAGCCTAGGGGAGGCCCCCGCCCAGCCGCTCCCTGCTCCCTCCCTCCCTCCCGCTTGCCTCACCACAGGGTTTGATGAATCAAACTCTTTGTCTGGGTGGGATCTCCCCCGGCCAGCTGGGCAGAGAGAGGGCTTCCCCGCCGGAGCAGCCGAGCACCAGCGACGGGCCTCTGCTGGAGAGGTGAGGGGCTGGCGGAGGGCAGCCGGCGGAGGGCAAGGGCGCGGGGGCTTGGGCCCCTGCATCGTCAGGCCCGCCCCGAGGCCCCAGCGGCCTCCCTGGGGTGACTTCCTAAATAGAGAGGACCCGCTCAGTTTGGCCTGATCCCGGGGCTGGGAGCCGGGGTGGGGGAGAAACCCTTCTCACCCCAAGCTGGGGGGCTGGGACACCTCCCTGTCCTCCTGGGAGGGCCCAGCCTGCTCTGCATGGTGGCGCGCCTGCCAGTCTGTGACCCTCCCAGCCAGCTTGGCATGGGCGTGGGCACCACTCGGCGCGGAAGGCAGCAGCTCTGGGCATGGGGCACGGGACGGGAGGTTGGGTAACAGCAACGCCAGGACTTCCCGGGCCTGTGTTTATGCCCGCGCCCTGGCTCGGGCACGGGATGGCATGGGAGCATGAGAAAGCCTGAGTGGGCGTGTGAATCACGGACGGAGCAGTGTGTGTGAAAACACGTAGTTGTGTAAAAAAAGGTGTGTGCAGGTGTGAGCCCGCGGAAGTGAGAGCTGTGAGTGTACCTGTGAACGTGTGTGCATCGGTGTGTGTACTGGGAGCAAACGTGTGTGGGTGTGCCTGACACACGCCTGGGTTTGTGTGACAGGGCGTGTACCTGTACAGCTGACTGTCGGTGACAGGGAGGAAACGCACAAGGTGGCTGAAAGCCTGGGTGAGAGTCCTGGCTCCACCATTCACCAAATAACCTCGGTGCCTCGCTTTCCTCACCTGTAGGATGGGGACAACTCGGGGTTGTTGTGAGGATTAAATGAGATAATATGTATGAAGCCCCTGGCCTATCACTCATTAGATGCCATGTGAGTATCAGCGATTCCTGTGATTGGTGCGTGAGTGTGCGGGTACAAATGTGGGCCCACATGTCCTCATAAGGGCTGTCCGGGCCTCCAGGACATGGTGGCTTACTGGCCAGCCCACTGTCCTGTGTCCTACTCTGATACCTTCTCCCCTGCAGGCCCAGGTGAGTGGCAGAGCAGAGGAGGAATGGACTGTGGGCCACCCGCCACCCTGCAGCCCCACCTGGCTGGGCCGGCTGGTGCTGCCCGCCACCCAGTAGCTGTGTGCCAGCAGGAGAGCCTGTCCTTTGTGGAGCTGCCCACCCTGCAGCCCCCAAGCCCTGTGTGTCTGGATCTCTTCCCTGTCACCCCAGAGGAGCTGCAGGCTCCGGGCAGCCGCTGGTCCCTGGGGACCCCTGCTCCTCTCCAAGGGCTGCTATGGCCACCATCCCCAGGAGTCCCAGACGCCGAGATCTCTGCCAGTGCGGGGATGCGGCCCAGCAGGGCAGGCAGCTGGCCACACTGCCCTAGTGCCCAGCCCCCAGCTCTGGAGGGAACCTGGAGTCCCCAGCACTCACAGCCGCAGCGCCGGGCCAGCCATGGCTCGGAGAAGAAGTCAGCCTGTGAGTGACTCCGGGTGAGGGGGTCATGGGCCAGGGGGGTGGATAGGGGGTAGGTTGGGTGGCTAAATTTTTGGGACTCTTAAGCCCCAGAGTTCCCCAAACAGGCGGGACAAGTGGTAGATTTTAGCAATGGGGAACTGGAGCTCACGGAAGATGAGTGACTTGTCCAAGGTCACACAGCAAGTGGATGGCTGTCCTGGGCTCTCTGGCCCTTTGCCCACTGCAGTCAGGCACTGCACCCTCTCTGCCCCTCTTGTTGATTTCATTTCTCTGGGGACCAGATACAGCAAACACGTTGCCCTTTCATTTGGGTTTGTTGCCTGGATGCTCAGGGCCCCAGGGCAGCAGCAGAGAGGAGGTGGGGAGAGACCCGGGGGAGGGGATGCCAGCCTTTGCTCTCACCCCACCTGCAGGGCGCAAGATGCGGGTGTATCAGAGTGAAGAGGCCCCTGGCAGCCCCGAGGCCCACGCTGTCTTCCTCGAGCCTGGCCAGGTGGCAGAGCAGTCCCTGAGCCCTGAGGAGCCTAGGCCGCTAGAGCTGTCTGGACCCACCCGGGGGGGCCTGGAGGGGCCTGAGCGGAGGCGTTTCTCAGCCTCTGAGCTGATGACCCGGCTGCACTCTTCCCTGCGCCTTGGGCGGAATTCTGCGGCCAGAGCACTGACCCAAGGGTCAGGCACCGGAGCAGCCCGGGAAGGTACCTGCTCCTCCCCTGGGGCCTAAGAGCAGCCCCTGAGCCCGATGCGGGGTGGAGCAAGGCTCACGCACTGGACACCTGAGGCTGGGTGCTGGTCAGCTGGAGTGTGGTGCCTCGCTGCCCAGGGCCACTCTCTCGGGGCCACTCACCCTCCACTATCGCCTTCTCCAGGGAGAGCATCTGGAAGGGAGTCGCGCAGTGTGGAGACGAGGGTGGACGTTGTGGCGATGGCAGCCCCTGTGGACCCAAGTGGGGGCCATGGCAGCTGGCCTGAGTCCAGGTAGCACCTCCTGCTTCAGGATAGGGTCTGAGGGGGAGGGAGGTGCAAGCAAAGAGGAGCCCTGACATCCTCTCTGTCCTAGGCTGGAGTCGCAGGAAGAGCCGGCTCTGAGTTCCAGAAGCGCCAGTGAGCGACGACAGTCACGGTTTCTCCTTAACTGTACGTGGGAGGGCGTGATGGAGGAAGGGGCTGGGAGTTTGGGAAATCAGAGCTGAGACTTAGGGACCTGTGAGAGGGAGAGGGTTGAATCTCCACATCCAGCACAGGGGCTAGCACACAGCTGGTGCTCTAGCAGGGTGTGTGAAATGAGGGATGGATGGATGGATGGATGGATGGATGGATGGATGGATGGATGGATGGATGGATGGATGGATGGATGGATGGATGGATGGAT